ATTCAAGAAAGTGCGCAATGCCAAGTTTGTGGGAAAAAAAAAAAAAAAAGATTTTTGGCACAAACAATCACCGCTACACAAAGCCAAAAAATTGCAAACTCTGTCATGAGCTGCCAAAAATCGCCAATTTTTGTCAAGGGGCACCTGTCAATATATTTTTACAATAATTTATATTACGAATCAGCACAGTTTGTTTTTGGCAAGTTCATGGTAAAATGTTTATTTTTTATTTATTTATACATTACTAATTACATTCATGTTTTAAATGTTATCACTGATGATTAATCAATATGAAAGAGAATTAAGCAAATGAATGTCATGCTGGTGCCATGTTTTGGCGTATACAGTCAAAAGACGTTAATCCGGACCTCAAACCTACAAACTTTCTGTGCAGGTGTCAACTGATAAAGCATTCACGCATGCACGATTAATGTATAACGGACGGTATAAGCTAAGCTAAAATTATCTATTTCAGTTAATGTTGCAGATTGCTTTGCTTCTTAATCTTCTAATTGGATCCGGCTTGTTATTTTTTGCAGACTCTTAGAGCAATTTTATAAAAGTAAGCTTGAATTTTCGATTATGTCGAATTTTCAATGTTGGAGCTGCCAAAGGATCTACAAAGCGAAAGTATGTTTTGACGTCCATCAAACAAAAAGTGGAATTGCTCCAAAAAATGTATAAAGGCATATCCTTTGTTTCTCTAACCATTCTGACTGGAAGTTGGATCTGTCAGCACTATCCTTACCTTCAGGGCAGATGTTTTTATTTTATTTGGTTTATAATTCCTTACTAAATGTAGTATTTCATCTCGATGGACTCCGTCTTTGATATGATTTAAATCAAATTCCTCATCATTATAATTCGCTTCCGATAGTAAAGAAAGTGACACAAAGGTTATTGAAAACGAAAAAAATTTTGATTGACAAATTAGTCGGTATTCTCGACACGGCAATTATAGGACTTGAACAGCAGAACTTTGTAACTGAACCAGAAATTATGTCTGTTTATAGAATTAAAGAGAAAATATACACAATAAAACGAAGCAACTTACATTGAAAGAAATGTTTAATTAAAGTAAAACAAATAAATACTAAGTTTTTTTTTTGTAAATTTGATACTTTTTAGATCATAACTGTTCTTTATTTCATAAGTTACGGTTTCATATTTTTAATTTTATAATTTCTGCAAGCCATCTTACCAGATTTATACTAATGATCTATAATCCGGAATCGCCGAAGTTCCGACAAGTCCGGATTAAAGACTTTTGACTGTACTGTAGTACAGCTTATCCGATGAATGTTAATTTTTTTTAGTCATTATCATGTATGTGGCGTATATGTCGGGGTGCCTTATCTATCTGAAATTACCATATATAGAATTAACCCGTGGCAGCCAAGTAAACTCAGTTTGCCACATTTAAGTTGGCAATGAATATGTTAATACAATATCAGCTATCCTAGTATATTATTAAGTTTAGGGAAAATACCTAGATAAACAATCTGGATTTACCTAAAATTCATGAAACCTCTAAAAAAAAAATAAATTCTTAAAATTAAATCTTTAAAAAAATTCCCAGAAAGATGGTTATTATTCTAATTATAATTGTTGGAATGCTTCTGGAAAAGAAGAAGCATATTAGGTGCTGTTATATAGCATAACGATTTTCAAAGAATTAAAAGTTCATAAACATTCAACCGAATCTACGAGGGCTATCCAGAAAGTAGATTACGTTTTGGAATAAAAAAATAAACAAAGTATAGGAAACAAATTTTATTATATACAGATGAAAGCCACACTCAAATACTACTTTTCTACATAGTCACCATACAAATTAAGGCATTTATCGTAGCGATGTACGAGCTTGGAAATTCCTTCGTCGAAAAATTCGGCCGCCTGCGCCTTCAACCACTTCGTTACCTCTTCTTGCAGCTGTGCGTCGTCATCAAAACGCTGCATAGCCAGCCACTTCTTCAGTGCTGGGAATAGGTGGAAGTCGCTCCTCGGTGCCAGGTCGGGACTGTACGGCGGATGAGGAAACAACTCCCACTTAAAAGATTCAAGAACTTACGAGTGACATTTGCCGTGTGGGCCGGGCGTTGTCGTGAATCAACAAGATCTTAGGCTCAACATTCCTCTGCGCTGTTTGATTGCTCTTCTGAGTTTTTGGAGAGTTTGGCAATACCTTTGAGAGTTTATTGTAGTGCCTCTTTCCAGAAGTCCACCAAATTACGAGTACACCTTTTCTGTCCCAAAAAACAGTCGCCATCATCTTCCTTGCCGACATTGTTTGCATGCATTTCTTGGGTTTTTGGGAGAACTTGTGTGCCCCCCACTGCATTGATTGCAATTTGTTTCACAGTTCACATGTTTCACCCATGTTTCGCCACGTAACGATCGACGAGTAAAGAGTCACCATCCTTATGGTAAGCGTCCAAAAAGTTCAACGCTGCAGCCCCATTCGCTATTTTTGTGGTCGTCAGATTTTGGAATCCATCTTGCACAAAACTTGTGGTAACAAGCTTTCGCTGATGATTTCGTGCAACAAACTTCGCGAAATTTGTGGAAAACTCAAAGAAAGTTCCGTTATTGTGAATTTCGATTTTCACGGACTTTAGCATCGACTTTTTCGAGAAGTTCGGCGGTCACTAGCTGGGTCTCCCACTTCGATCTTCGTCGTGAACATTGGTTCGGCCCATTTTGAAATCTTATGACCCACTGACGCACCCACCTTCAGTGATAATGTTGTCCCCATACACTTCACGAAGCTGTGCCGATAGATTTCTATCGGTTTACAGTTTTTTGCAGTCAGAAACCTTATTACTGAGTGCACCTCGCAGCTCGCGGGATTTTCAATTAACGCAGACATTTCAAAACGTCACAGTATCTGAACGGAGCACAGCAACGAACCTCTCACAGCGGGATAGATGCAGACTGAGCTGCGCAACGCTCTGACCCCAAGATGGCCCGCGCTAGCCCCGCCCCTAGCGGACACAGACGGAAACGTAATCTACTTCCTGGATGGCCCTCGTACTTTTCAAACCCAGAATCAAGAGCAAATAATAATATAACAAACAAATGAAGCAAACTGTGAAGAATTAAAAAATAAACATGCAATATTTAGTTCTATTCTTTTATTATTAATCAATTAAGTTATTTCTTCTGCTTCACCTTAAGATATATAACAAAGATTACTACTACATTCTAAATCATGTCTTTTACATGAAATAACAATGTAAACTTTTCACAGAGTACTGCTTTTCATTCAAGGTTAAAAACCAGCTGCTATGAAACAGTAATCAATAATCTTTGAAACATGGAAATATTGTATTGTTAAAATAAATATAAAATTAAGGTGCCAAAAAATAAGGGAACTGCAATTTCTAATAAAGAAGTAAAATCCAAGTACTTATTAGTAACCTGTCTCTACATAAGTTGGGGGAAGTGCAGAATCACCCACTGCTTGGCTAGTTTTTAAGAATTGCACATACTCGGTATTCATGTACACATCGACCTAAATTCTGGAAATGAAACCTCACTCCTGGCTACCATGATAGTTTTAACTTGGTTTTAGCTTCCTGATTTTATTTAAATGAAAATAGATTGATGTGTACATGGACAAATTTAAGGCAGCACGCAATGCCTAGTTTGTGCAATTCTAGGATGTTTTTCTAAGTGAAAACAGATCGATGTGTACATGGACACAGAGTTTGTGCAATTCTTTGACTTCTTATTTGGGTTTTGTGCAGCGGCCTTCTTGAAATTGTACCTTCCTAGCGCCGATCTTAGCGTCAAAAAAGAATCACCAAGAAACAAGGGGCACCAAATTGTAAACTTTTACCGGTTCAAAATATATGACGTTAAAATCATTTCTATTGCAACTTTTTGCAAATACAATTGCTATTATTTTCATACTGTACTCTGCTCGTTAAGAACAGTAAGTAATGGGTTAGAATCACTAAAAATGTAATTTGGGAATTTTTAACTCCTAAAATCTTAAAAGCATTACATATAATATATATATATACATATTATAATACGAAGAAATATGTCTGATGAAAAATAATGATTATCATATATCTCATCATATTAAAAATTCAGCTAAAATCGTCAATTATATTCAAAACAGAAGTGTTACAGGCTACAGCTGAACACAGAAGGGATGATACTAAAAATTTAAACGCATAATATTGGTAATTTTACCGTACATAACGAATAAATCTTGAAAATAGGTTTGATGACTACATTTATAAATGTATTTAAAAATTCTTAAATACCAGTACATGCATATGAAATAGCAAAGTTCTTACAGTTCCGTTATTAATTTCACGTTATTGACTTTCGCTTAGTTATTACAAAACAGATTCGAAAACAATTTTATACAGTATTACGTATAACTTTACAAAAAATAAAAACGTTATTATAATATTAACACGTGGTAATGAAACAAGAAACGCATACATGAACGGTACACGATATATACACCACAAGGTAACAAATATATTCACAATTAAGCTTTCATATAGACAAAATTTTTCAAACACCAGACCTTTTACAATGCATCAAAAAATCTTCTATGCATCATTAGCAATATAATTTAACAAAAATACAACATTTTCACAAACGAATACATTATGTGTCACTAGAAGTTGAAAATTCAAAAAAGTCGCCGATACCGCCTTCTCTTACCAAACGATGAAGCCGCTTTTCGAAATTTGGCGACGTTTTACATCGCCAACATCGTAATAAACAAAGCTTTAAAAAGCAACGGCTTTTTTTAGTCAGAAATTAAATTTGGAGAAATTAAAAACAATTTTGCGTATAAGTGCTCGGTACTGAAATCATTTACAGATCTTGGGTATAAAAATGAAGTGCTGAAATTTCAAACACGCATGACATTGAAACAAAACAAAGGTATATCTATTGAATGACACACCGCCTTCCACAATGAATTTAGTGAAATGAACAATAAAAACATTTTATTCAGCTAAACTACTTACTTTCTGAAATTCGTCACCACTTTTATCCAAGTCTTCTTTATGAGATAGCACATAAAATCAACAAATCAGATGCTTACTACAAAGAATACCTTGTAGCGGTTTATTTCAAGGTAGGCTTAGTTTACGCGCTTTTTGTCTTCCATGTAAAGATATCCAATATCGGCGTTCTGGCGCATAACCATTGCACCAACATCACTGCATAATTTTTTTTTACAACTTGGTGGGTTTTTTTTAGAGTAAAATATTAGTTTCACAAAATAAATGCGAAGCAAAGAACGCGGCAAAATTACTATTACAACGCCTGTACTTATCGGGATTTACAATACTACGTATAGGTAAGTTGAGGTGATTTTCTCCTGTTTTGGAACCGAAAGTGATGCGTTTGTTTATGAATTTTTTCATGAATGTATTCATCAAAAGTACTTTCCCGCCTTTAACTGATATAAACAATGAAAGCCAGATATTATTAAAAAATATTAATATGATCGAGGAAATATTCTGTTGTTGAAAATAATAAGTATTTAAACAGTAAATGAGAAATAATGAAAATAATGTTTCACTGAAACGTTTAGCTGGTTCGAAACATGGCCATGGATGGAGACGGAATACAGGTGTGAAAAATTGTATCTTTCAAATATTTACAAACGTAAGTTATTATTTTGTTTATATTTTATTTTTATCTTTGAATAATGAGGACTGAATTTCATTTTTGACGTATTTGTAACGTGTTATACGATTGAAATCAGATGATCATACCAGTTCAAAAGAGATGATCATGAAGAATTTAAAACGCCATCAATTTTACCAGGAGAAGATCCACTTGTGATGGTGCTTAGAAGATCACCGGAGAAATGGGTATGCTGGTGTCTCATACACTTTAAATTCTTTAAGAGAGAAATACTGAATTCTCTGCGGAAGGAAAGCCGTTAAACATGTATTGAGATCTTGCATTATTTGCAAGCGATTTTCAGCTAAAGGTAACAATCCTCCCACTGCGCCACCACCAGCAGATAGAGTTCAAGACGCTGCTTCATTTCAAATAACAGGAGTGGATTTTGCTGGCCCAGTGATTCTAAGAGATAACTCAAAAGCTTGGATTGCTCTTTTCCCCTGTGCGGTGTATCGTGCCGTCCATCTCGAATTAGTGACATCCATTTCAACGGAGACATTTCTACTAGCTTTTCATCGTTTTGTTGCTTACAGAGGGAAATCTTCAGTCGTATACAATGATAATGGAACTAATTTCAAAGGAGCTGTCAGTGCTTTTGCGTTAATTGATTTTGGGAAAATTTTTCTTGAAGCAAGAGAAGAACATATAACTTGGAAGTTTATACCATCTAATGCTCTTTGGTGGGAAGGTAGGTCGGAGAGACTTGTAGGAATGATAAAAAATATTTTAAAGAAAACTCTAGGAAGAGCAGTTTAATCTACGAAGAAATGATTGCAGCTTTATGCAATTGTGAGGCTATTTTAAATGAAAGGCCTACCATACCAGACCTTAAAATGAATCCAAATTCAAATAGTTTACGGAGAAGGTTACAATATATCAGCGCCGGATCTTTGATTTTTCTGATGTGGGGCAAAAGCTAAAACTGCCGCCCTCACCCATCATCCTTTAAGTGTTTCTCTAACAGGTTTTAATTTAATAAATAGAGAAATAGATAGTGTTTGAGGTAAAAACCTAAGTTTCATTTTATACTAAATTCTTAACGTTTTTTTTTTTTTTTTTTTTTTTGCTTATAAAGGAAAAATACGTACCAAAATTACATAATTCAAAAATCGTCCCCTCCTAGGAGAATCGCCTTTCTGTTGAGCTTAATTTCGGATTCAATCCTAATCCTAATTCGAATCCTGAGTGCTTCTAACCCTCCAGTCCTCGCCTCCATTCGTTCTTCCGCTCTAGGGGGAAGGGGCATCTCCTAAGTTTCTCACTATTCCGTATTATTGCATACTGGTTAAATTAGGTTAAGTTAGATTGTATGAATATGACAAAGACAAGAGGACTATTTGCTTAGAGAAGAGGTGCTTTCGTGGAGAAATGTTTTAAAAGAAACTGGCTCGTATTCATGTCACACATGATGAAATCCACGAAAACAAACCATGCAGCCAGCCAGTTCTCCTGGGTTTGAACCCAGGCAAGGTCGAACTACCAGTATTCATCGGCCTTACTCACTCGGCCACTGCTGAGGACATTTGTTTGATTATTTACTATGTGTTTTGCCATTAGGCATTGCATGGAAGGGAGGAATGCCCCGCGGAAACATTGTTTAAGGGAAACTGGTTCGTATCTGCTAGAGGAAGATGCTTTCATGGAGACATTCTTTGGAGGAACTGGCTCGTATTCACGTTATACATGAGGATATCCCCGAAAACAAACCATGCAGCCAGCCCGTTCGTCTGGGTTGGAACCCAGGCAAGGTCGAACTACCATTCCAGCGGTCTTAATCACTCGGCCACTGCTGAGGACATTTGGCTGATTATTTACTATGTATTTCGCCATTAGGCAATGCATAGAAAAGGAGAAATGCCCCGTAGAAAAAAATTTTTATGAGAAACTAGCTCTTATATATGTTACACACGGGGAAAATAACGGAAATGCTCATATAGCCAGTACATTCACATATACTTAACCCTGGACAGATTCCAAACTACTAGTGCTCAGCAGCTTTTTTTTGCTCACTCACTAATGGGAATGCCATTGCAGAAAGGAAAAATTCTGAAAAGATTATACAGAATATTATTACTGAGAGTATTCGTGCTTCCTGTCTTGTTTTCCATACTTCCTATTTCGTAAGTAATTTTAATACTTTTTAATTCTTACCTGCCTTAACGCTATTAAAATATCACGGAATTAGTAACGAAAATTAAAATTTTACTTTGTAAGCCTTTTGTTCTGCAAATAAATGCATGGAATCGTCATAATTTGATCTGCGGTTTGATTAATCTCGAGACTTGATAAACGCTCCTGGCTCACCGATGATCGTAGATATTTTTTAATATGTTTTAATTTGCTGAAACTTCGATCTGACAGGTTGAAGTGTTCGTGATTCGTCCTCAAACAGTTCATCATTTGCTTTTTGCTTTGGAATTTTTTCTTTTTCAGAATAATCAACTGCAATTTTTTCGGCTACTGTTTTAGACTCTTGTATCAATTATATTTAATAGGATTTTTCTCTCATTTTTTATAAATTCCTCAGTTTTAGTCAGTTTCTTTCGTTAACTACACAGAAATGCGGAAGAGGAATTTCCTTTTGAATTTCTATATTTACTCGATTGAATTCTGGAAAAATATTAGCTCAAAATTTTCAGATTGATAGTAAATTCAAATTTTTTCACAGCATGTACAGATGTCCTACCTCTCGTGCTTTGATTCCGCATCAAGAGAAATATCTTTAATTTCTTTTAAATATTTTATATTTCCGGTAACTTCATTAGAAGGACCTTTCACAGCCACATATTTTGTCCGACCATCTCGTCTGGCTGCTTCCTTTTAAGTTGTATTTTGTACATTGTTTTCATATCTATACCATCGAGTAGTGCATGCATCGACAAAAAAGCGAAGTATTTTCTGAGTAATTCCAAACAGATTAACTGCTTCCGTGCACGAAGAAGCAAAATGCACACTGACAAGATACGAGGAGCAAGCCAAACATGGCACAAATTCCTCCAGCTTATTCATTTCTGTAATCCTAGCTTGTGCTGATTTAGAAATGCCATCCTTATTAGGCCCATTGTCGTAAAACTGACATCGACATTGTCCAATATCTAAACTATCAAGTGTCAATTAAGACACTAATTTTCTACAATGCGTTCAGAAATATATTCTCCTGTCTTTCCACCAACTTCTATGAAATCAATTAAATTTTCCTTTATCTTTCACACATCACCATGCACTTTTACGTATTGAATCACTTGTTTCATTTTTTTTTTCTGTATGAGACATATATGGAGTGCAATCGAGCATTATTGTGTGATATTTGGCTTTTTTAATATCGTTTAAAATGCTACTTCAGACTGTTTTGCCTTTAAGTTAATAACTTATTTGAATTATCTTTGATAAATATGATTCCTTTTCTAAGAGTTGAATTATGTTTGGCAAGCGGAGAGATTAAATTAAAAAAATTTCCTTGGCTAGGGCGAGAACACTTTGTGAACAGGCTACTTGGGATTTCATCAGACCCAAGAAAAGTACGACATTTGTTGAAAGATACAGTCCCGCATCCATGACTATACAGAATTTTTCTCCATTTTAGTTTCTCTGTATGAATGAGTCGCTCAGTGTCGTGATCATTGCCTTGGCACGATTTCATTTGTTGTACTCGAATTTTCCGCTTAATCATGCACCTCTGTGGATTCCAGACGCTTCGTGCTCAGTTAATCTTGTTAAAACGTTTTTCCAATTAATGGTGTGGTGTGGTGTATTTAATTATGGCAAAGCACACTAGGGCTATCTGCCTAAGAGGAGGGATGCCTTCGTGGAGGACTTTCTAAGGGAAACTGGCTCGTATACACGTTACACACATGGGGAAAACCACGAAAACACCCATGCAGCCAGCCCGTTCGCAGGATTCTAACCTCTTTTCCAATTAATGAATCCTGCAGTATAGTGTAGCGGCAGCACCATGTTTCTGATAAAATCTTGTAGGGTGTACAAAAAATTGCATTCTTGTCTTTAGAATATGTAAACCAAAATCTTCTAAGCTTTTCATTATTTACTAATGTTCTGTATCACATGTCAAATGACCGCCATCACATTCAGTGGAACTGAGGTTTACGTTTTCTGGATGTTTACCGGTTAATAATATCGATTGACTGCTTAAGAAAGATTGTTGGTGATCGTTCATCTTTTTCAATGACCAGCCAACTGCATGGATTCAACAAATCAAAAATTTTTAGTTTTTCGTCTTTCTGCTACCCGTCCCCATTTAAATGAAGATATCTTCATTTATCTTTCTATTCATTTATCTTTCTATTCTTTCATGTCCTTCAGCTATTCGTTTGATGTCGATGAAGAAGGTTGTTCTTTCAAATGCTGACTTGTAGATTGTTTGGGGATGATATATGGAGTCATGTTTGATCGTGCAAATTGCAAGAAATATTAATACCCTCCAGAATCTCAGCATAATCGGAATTGCGGCAGGGTCTTACGGTCTACTCTTCAGCAGGGCTTAATTTCTAAGATTAGAAGTGTAGGAGCCCTATGGAAGACCGTCAGCAAAGAGGAACAAGAGTAAATAACATAACTATTAAACTCATTAATAATTTTAAAATTAAATAGTTAATTACTATCATATTACTTAATAGCTATTTAATTAATGTTTATAA